CGTCTGCGTCTGTCTTGCCTTTCCTGCGACTTTCGGAAGTGCAGAGGCTAGATTCACGAAACGATCTTACGCCAAAAATGTGCGTAAGACAAAACTTGAGAACAAATTCGTATTCACGAAACGAAATTTTCATAAGTTTTGCCCAGGTTATGACGAAATCCTACGACAGCTCCGAAGCTTTCTTACGCACTTCTGATGATCAAATCAGCATGGCCGACAGCGTCGCGGTCGCGACGACCAACGGACGTTTATTTTTCTACGTGCACTTCTCACGCGTCCCGACTTCAAGCAGCAAGAAAAAAGTAAGAAGTACTTGAAACAGACCACGAAAAACAAGAACGCTGGATCCACAAACACCCGGGAAAAGCTTCAACGGCCACGATTCTACCGACAACGACCAAGCGAGCTCGGCAGATAGGCCTAGCAGGCACTCCGACTCGGCGACCGTCTGCCCACGAACGGCTGGCGTGCTGAATGGAATATGCCCGCGCGACCCTTGTGAACCCTTCCCGTATTATACTTTGATCGCTGACCTCAATTTTAGATTAAGCGGTCAATCTCTTCCTCTTGTCATCTCCTTGTTTTCCGAGGCAAAGGTGACCTCGCCGGTAAAAAAGTGGTAAATCTCCGACAGACGCAGGAAAGGTAAAGCAGCCATCGCTTTGACTAGCAGACGTAAAGCAGATGACGTTAACTGCGCCAACCCGCCGACGCCGTTAAAGAGTGAGGGGTCTAGCCGCACACGAAAGGAGGGAAAAAGTATTTGGGAGGGAACTTGCGGATACTAACACGCTCACTCTCGGTCCTTAGTAAACAAACCTCGGCGCCTCGGGACACCTCGCCAGTGAGTCCTTTCACTTCCCTCCTTGATCAGCGTTTGCTAGTTGTTAGACAAAAACTACGTACCGCTCGAGTTATTTCGTCTGCCCTCTCTGAGAGGCGAAGTCGAGCTCGCTCGATTTCCGAAAGTTGCAGGAAAGGTAAGACAGACGCAGACGACGGTGGAAGCAGACGACGTTGCGAAGGAGCAGACGACGCTGAGATAGGGGGTCCCGATCAGCCAATCAGGGCTCGGCGTTCTGACGTCACCGCCATAGAGTTATTATAATGTACGCTAGAGGTTCAACTGGCGCTAGTGTCTATGCGACTTCCGTGACGCAAATTGAAGCAGACAGCAACCAGTCTACTTTTGCGGTGCTCCTGTGCATTCCTATGGGAAAACGCGCGTGCATTTTGTCTCTTCGCCGGAAAATAACACGGAGCACTTTGGTTATTTCGGTCGTATCGAATAGTATGTGTCTTAATTAACATTGTAAAAGTGTAATTGCTTTAGTTAACGCATTTTTCTTTTCTAGTGAGCGATGTTTAACTTCGCTACATTTCAGTCCCAGACGCGTGTGTTCCGCAGCAGGTGTGTAAGAACAAGCGACGATTCAAAGCAAAATTACAATCGAAAGGAATATGGAGTGTGTTCAAGGCTCGCCAGCATTCCGGTGACGCTTATATATATTGATAATGCCAGTCCTGTCACTATATAAAAATGACCCCATCGTGCATGCGTTGATAAAAACATTCAAAACATAGATAATAAAGTAAGTGGGCTATGAAAGGTGTCTCTTGGTATTGTTTTCTCTGCCGGGCAGCTTTTATCGGGCAGTTGTTCTCAAATATTTCGAGCGTGCGGGTGATATCTTGAACGTACGAACAAACACATCTTCGCACAGAGCAGAAAGAATAAAGCTGTACTTCCTTATTTAAAATCGGAATATATTGCGTGACCTTCAATTTATTTTGATCGTACATGCACGTGTAGTTACTGATCCAGTGTTACTGCGTAGCTCTTGCCGTCCGTCTCCCCTTATTTCCAGATGTTCTTCGTTCGTCTGGCACGTATATCCCTCATGCTGAAAAGCGCCGACGTCGTGTTCGCGCTAAAAGTGTCCGACAGTGCACATAAATACACGTACGAAGCCGTTTTAGTACCGTTTTTAATCCGACCAATTTGAAAGAAAAACGCCGTAACTGACCACTTATTTCGTCGGCCTGACTGAGAAATGTTCCAAGCTACTTAGTACGTACGAATTATTTGGGATATTTGCTCTTATGATCGAGCGCAGGGAGAAAATGCACTCACTTTTTCCCATAGAAATGCATTACCGGAAGTCAATTTTCGACTGGTTGCTGTCTGCTTCAATTTGCGTCAGCACACTAGCGCCACTTGAACCTCTAGCGTACATTATAATAACTCTATGGTCACCGCTACTTCCTTTCTCATACGCAGAAGACGAAAATCAGCCCACTTGCGAGGCGTATTGCAAACGGCATTTAAAGCGTGCAATAGAAGCGTTCAATCTCGGCCTCTCTACTCCATCTCACAAATGTCTGCAGTAAAGACAAAGGCACAGGCGCGCGAGCCTAGCTCAGCAAAACGCTTTTGTTTGTACTAGAACTCGTGCATAGGAGGCACTTTCCAAAGCCACGGGCTCGTGCCCATGCCTTTGTCTGCACTGTTGATGTTTGTGCAGATGGAATATAGGTGACAGTTCGCTCTGGGCCGGCTTGCTAGAACAGCGTCTAAGCTGAGGCTGGCTGAAAGAAAAAAAAAAAAAAAAAACTGGTGGGGCGCGCGAGCGTCTTGAGACGCGGAGTCCCGCTCGGCTCGTGCGCTGGCTTTGGCAGTGCTTTCTTTCCCCGTCTCGGCTGAAACGCTGTTTCTAGCAAGTCGGCCCTGGTTTGGAACGCACGTTCGTTTATTCTACACTTGAATATTGGCGTGACTAAAACCTCACACGCACAAAGTTTTCAGTCACCGAGAGCTAAACCTTCTCACTCTAGCGACGCTAAAACGGCTCAAATTAGTCGTGTCACAAACTTAGAGCACACGACCACCGTTAGGGGCTGTTTCGCGGCCTGTGGTTGGCCCCGAGATGCTCGCCTATTCAAACCAATGTATGACCAAACTCTCTCAATAAACGGCTCTGGGAGGGGTGGCTTTCCGGCGCCCCCACGCGGTCAAGAAAACTCCCATTGCCTCTAAACCAAAAGTAAAGGCCGTAAGGAATGCCGCTCTCCAGTCTGACCGTGGTAAGACTGGAGAGATCCTCGATCCGAGAGATAATAGATTAGTGCCGAATATGTTAAAACGTCTTAAAGGGGTACTCCGGCGATTTTTTGAGCTACCTCGACTAACTATATTTTCTGACTCCCTGGCCTTTACCCTTTACGGTATGCTATTTAGTATCGCGAAATTCACAATAATTATTGTGAAATCGGCAAATGAAAATGATGCAAAAACCAACATTCAAATATACCTGCACTTTTCAGTGCCGTCACATCAGTGGCGGGCAGGCTTGCCAGTCGAGCAAGCAGTCTAAAAAATAGAATATTCCAATCATGTGTTCCGTGCTAGAGCGCGGGTTCTGGGGCGAGCTTCCAAAGCATTCGATTGACACCGTGAAGCTGTTTCGAATCAGCTGGGAACAAATTCTACAGTCCAAAGAGTGAACCCCTGCCTTCCACCGACGTCACTTTCTCGTGGTTGCCAGTAGAGACATTCGGTTTGAAAAACTCGATGAGGACCAAAATTGTAAATTCAATAACTTCGTAAGAAAAAATTTCTTTGACCTAATATTTGGGATACAATTTAACTATGTTGTTTGGCGAGTTAAGCGAAATTTTAAGCCAATCGGATGAATGGATGACAAGAGGTCCTTATTTATGGCGCATGCAGCGCTCGAGGCATAGGAACGGGTGCTCGCGGCCACGGGACACTTGCGGGCTGCGTCCCAAATAGTCGTGGCCCGATAGTCGCGTGTTTGACAACCCTTTGACAAACAACCGAATTGTTTAACAACAATTCGTACAAAAGCAACTTTCCTCTCTCTCCCTTCCGTGGTGGTCCGAAATGGATGGTGTGACGTCTGTGCAAGAAATGGTCAGTGCAGCCGAGCTGGCGCGTATTAATCCTAATGTTTAAACCCTGAAACAAAAACAGAACAAAAAATAGAAGGAAAAAAAAAAAAAGTGACTGACAGCAGCGTCTTAAACTGAGCGTTTGATTGTTGAGGGAACAAGCACAAAGTCGGAACAATTCTCCTTCCTCCGTTTTTTGTTTTTTTTTTGAGCTGAGTGAGACGTAGTGTTTGTCACCTTTCTTCTGTCCCTTCTAATTTATCTTCATCTTCTTTACAAACTCAGAGATTAAACATCACGATTAACACTTGACTGGCTTGTTCCTTCCTGACTTGTGTGGAAATTCAGTGTTTCAAGTTTTGAACTGAACTTATTATGAACCTTTGGCACGGAACCACTGCAGTTTGCATATAATAGAAAAGTGGTGCTTCGCTGCTAGTTTATTTTCAGTACTTTATTGACTCAAGTTGCTTATGTGACGGCCCACATGCCTGTGCGGAGTAGGTCTGCAAATGTAAATAACACTGAAGTCTGGACGAGCGTGTAGTAATGCGGAGCGGAAGTTCGTCTGCTTCTTGCACAGGGGTGGCAATGATGTGAGAACGCCGAGCTCTTATTTGCTGATTGAAAACAAATAGTGGTTAGACCTCAAGGCATCTAGCATTGAGCTCTACCCACTGTCAATCAAAGCCAATCAGGGCTCGGCGTTGTTCTGACGTCACTGCCAATCCTGCGCAAGAAGCAGACGACTTGCGCTCCGCATAGGAATCGGAACAGAACAGGGTGGGCAGACTGCAAGCTTGCGCTGTCGCCACCGTTTGTTATGTTGCTATTCGAAATCACGGTAAACGGTGTTGGGAAAACATCAGGCATGTTTCGGCAACTCGACGGAAGGACGAATACCTGAATAGGGCCGGACAACTCTGGTCTAGATGGATCAAACCCAGTAAATAAATTGCAAAAATTACTTTCGCGTGCCCAGCATGAAAGTGAGACTATCTGTGCTGGATAGTGCATTTGTTTAGCGAAAATATCGAAGGATATTTTCAAATTGCGAGACGGGTCTAACGGATGACGTCGTGTCATACCTCAGCCGTAGCCGTGGTTGTCTGGAGGCAGATGGACATGGTAGCCGAACGGTGCAAACGAATGGTAGCCGTGACCGTGGGAGGGTCCGCGGTAAACCTTGATGCTCACGTGACCCCCGTATCCACCGCCACCGTAGCCCGCCTCTGCATGCTGCAGGAGTACAGCGCACAGTGCCAGGCCCAAGAGGACGCGCTGCAGTCGTCGACCAAATGTTCGAACGAATAACGTAAGCAAAAGTGCAGAATAAAATAGGGGATGCACCTTAAAAGCTGACGGATCCGTCTTACCAGAGCCCCGGACATCTTGTCTTCGTGAACCGCGTCCAGTTGCTCGTTTCGTCTGTTCGACCAGGTCTATATATGAGCCCAAAAAAGGAAAGGACGGTTGGCCCCAATGTTCACAGTCCGTAACCCAAGGAAGAGCGGCTGATGATGTCGGAGGCTGGAACGACAAACCTGACAAACCGTTAGTGTCGATTCGTAACAGCTGACTGGAGTTGGGGTTTTGCTATTTACGCGTTGTGCGTTTCTTCCATGCATTGAGCACGCCAGGATTGCAGAGGTATTCTTGTAAGTAAAACAACTAAGATCATATTAATAAGATGTGTTTGTTCATTATGCTGTGCACACGTTATTTTTTCGTTCATTTTACAGGCGTCATCAAGTGAGATGATTTTTTAGGTCTTCATTTTACTCACGCAAAATAATAAAATATATTTATATCCCAGAAATAAGGGTGATCGCAGGCGAGCTGGAGAGCGATCATAGACACGATGTTGTGTTTGTCCCCCTTTTTGTGTCCCCTCGTGTCCGGGGTTTGTCAGTATATTTATATTCGGTGTTATCGTGCATTGCCCAATGGGCATTGTAGCACGAGAGGTCAAATTGTACAGTATCATTTTGTAATACATTGTGTTCACGCATACAAATATGCGAACATTAATAAACAAATTTAGTGCCAGGAAAAAACAGAGGGTACCTTTCTAAAACAATAGCCGTAAATACACCACTGCAGTGGCGAAGCCAAGAATTATCTTCTTAAATTTTGCTTTAGTATTAATGACACACCCCTAGAAGTTGTAAACTCATACAAGCAACTGGGCGTGATTTTAAGTGCTGACCACATTTTGGAAACTTCATATTTACTATTGACTAACGACGCCAATCGAATGCTTGGTTTTCTCAAACGTAACTTTTATCTCGCCCCATCATCATTAAAACTATTCCTTTTTAAAACACTGGTTAGGCCCAAGCTAGAGTATGCAGCTTCCATCTGGGATCCCTCTACCCTTTACCTCGTTGATTCACTTGAAGGTATTCGGAACAGAGCAGCACGCTTCATAATGGCCAATTATAACCGTACCGCAAGCGCAACATCAATGAAAGATAGTTTAGTTACTCCCAAGCCTCGCACATCGTCGCACAGTCTCTCGTATTCTTCTTTTTCATAAAATCTATCACCATATTTCTCAGCTTAAATCACAACGATTCATCCCGTCCTACTTTGTTTCAGCACGCTTTGATCATCGTCACGAAGTCGGTGTCCCATTTTGCCACTCCAACGTTTATTATGACTCTTTTATTCCCAGAACCTCCAAATACTGGAACCGCTTAGCCGCATCGCTCATGCCAATTAATGACCACGCACTTTTTAGAGCGCAGCTCTTAGGGGCCCGTTCCCGGCTTGAGCGGCGTCGCCGTCGGCGTAACCAAGGTCACGTGACCCCCAAGATCACCACAAGGTCACGTGACTGCCAAGGTCACGTGACCCCCAAGGTCTCGTGACCCCTCCCCTAGGGTCACGTGGCCCACAAGGTCACGTGACACCCAAAGTCACGTGGCCCCCGAGGTCACGTGCCCCCCTCAGGGTCACGTGAACCCCTCCTCCGAGGTCACGTGACTCCCCCCCCCCCCCCCGAAATCACGTGACCTCCCCGATGACGTCACCGGCATCCGCATCGTCATCATCACTGATGACGTCATCAGTGCGTCACTGATGACCTCACCGGCATCCGCATCGTCATCGTCATCATCACTGATGACGTCACCGAAATCCGCATCGTCATCGTCATCATCGCTGATGACGTCATCGGAGTCCGCATCGTCATCGTCACTGATGACGCCATCAGTGACGTCACTGATGACATCATCGGCATCGTCACGTGACCCCCCCACGTCACTTCACCCGCCCCCAGTACCCTTCCCTCCTCCTCCTCAAGAGCTGCGCTCTAATTCGGTGTTAGAGGGAGTTGTAAACGGCTTTCACTTTTTTGTACATCTATTGCCAATTTCATGTTCCCTGTTTTTTAAGTAAACTATATTTTGTTTTGTTCGTATTATTATTACTATTGTTCCCACTCCCCTCCGTAATGCCTTTTGCCCTGGGGGTAAAATAAATAAATAAATAAATAGACTGTGGTCTGTTAGGGCCGTGAAGATCCTCTTCTCTAATGTTTTACATGCCAGTGTCTATACAATGATCGAAATAAATATAACAAAGAGAACATTCTACATAATTTAAAGGGATACTACAACGAAATTTCGGCGCTCATCTTTTGGTCTATATGTGTTCAAAAGAGCAGTATCACATGGAACATACCAATATCTTGTTAAAAAAGTCTCGAAAAGGAATTTTAAAACGAATTAAACGATTAGCAAAGAGCACCTGGTGGATGTCGCTAACGCCTCGTTTGTAATGCTCGTCTAGGAACCTTGACAGCTAGTGACGGAGGTTGTCTCGTCTCCGGCCACGACGAGAGAAGGGGGGAAGGAGGAACTCCCCTCTTCCCGAGAATCCCTTTTGTGTGTCGCAGAAGTCGCTATTGTCCCCCTAGAAGATTATAGAAGATTAACCCGTCACTCAAAATTCGTACAAAAGCAGCCGCTTCGGTGGCTGGAACGACTAGGCCATCCTCTCGACGTCAGTCTCGCCGTAACTTTGCTCGTCTTGAGACGACCTATGTCACGATTGCGTTGGATGTCACGTGCTCTAAGCTGGGCCTTGTCCGAGCGCTTGCCAGAGTGGGCCGTTTATAACGAAAAATACAGCCACCAGGATCAAAATACAAACGTGCGATTGTCATTTACGGATAATGTGGATCATTTTCAACCTATTTTTGAACACGACGGGAATATTTTAAATTTCGTTGAAGTATCCCTTTAAGACAAACCCCCGAGACTGGGGAAAAGACGAAAGACAACACAACACACAGAGTCTCAAACACAGCTGAATTTTATTCCACAGAAGTTCGTGTTTATAGAGGGTTTCACTGCCCCCACAAAACTGAATCATTTCACCCGAACATCCTGATAAGACACGCGAAGAAAACTAGAACCGCTCCTTTTTCGGAACAAACCAACAGGACCGTGTGCAAAAACCTCGAACTCAAACAAACACACACACAAAAAGGACAAAGCGATAGACGGCTAGGGACAAAACAACCGGACCGTGGGCAAAAACCTCGAACATCAAAACACACAAACGAACACAGAACATAAGAAAGTAGAAAGGAGTGTACTTGGCATGGGCCGAAGTACTGCGTCTCCGTGCCTCCGCACGCTTGGATACCGTCCAAGAATGGACGCCGTGCGGATGTGTTTAGCGAGTGCAATGTGCGTGAAACCGTATGTGCCTCTGGAGCAGCGTTTTACTTTACTCTGACTACTGTATTTGTAACTTGCGGCACTCGTGGTGCAGAAACGAGCTTGATCCAGCGTTAAGTGGCGACGGAAGGGGGAGAAAGTATGTCTTAAATTTCTTTCTTTCTTTCTTTCTTTCTTTTTTTTTTGTTTTTCGTTAGACGGTTTACAGAATACCGCACAACAGCTCCTCATAAAGATCAGTGGCCTGGCTCATTATCAAGCTCTGTAATTGCCCTTCACATCAAGTTTGAGCGCGGCTCGCCTAATTGTGATTGGTCAACAGATTGCACACGACCATATGGGCCGCGCTTCAATGACTTTCAATCTCGCCGTTTTGTCTTTTGCCTTCGAAAACCGTCCTTGCTCCACAGCGCTGCTCTATTTGTGCTGCCATGTGATTTATTAGAGTAGATTTGGAACATAGCCATGGTTATAAAGGGATGCTTGAACGAAATTTAAAATATACCTGTCGTGTTCGCAAATAGGCTGAATGTGATCCACAATATCCGTAAATGACAATCGCGCACGTTTGTATTTTGAGCCTGATGGCTGCATTTTTCGTTATAAACGGCCCACTCTGGGAAAGCGCTCGGAGAACAGCCAGCGGAGAGCATGTGGCATCCGGCGCAATCGGACGAGCAAAGCTGCGGCGAGGCTGATATCGAGAGGATGTCCCGTTCCAGCCACCGAAGCGGCCGAAGCACGCCAGCGATCGGGCAACCCCAACTAACCGCAAAACTGGTTTTGTATGAATTTTGAGTGGCGGGTTAATCTTCTGTAATCTTCTATACCCGTTTTCACCTCAAGAAAAACAAACTAGTTTTGCGCATTGTTCATACGCAACGCGAAGTTGTTCTTACGAGATTTATTTGTCGGAGGAAAAAGCGATGATTTTGGCGCTGGAACGTGTACGTCTTGAGAAGGTAACATATATATAGGGTGGTTCAAGTCACCAGGCTCGATCTAAAATGGACCGTAAGAATCGACGCCTGCACGTAGCCATCTAAACTTTTCGTCAAAGGTGTATTTCACAGGTCGGTTTTTTCTTGTAAAATTACAAAGCGTAGCTCTCCTTCTGTAAAAAATAGGGCCAAGAAACTTGCCTGGGTCAATGGCGGGCGGTGACGCAGACGACCAAGTCCAGTAGCGGGGTGTGTTTGGTGTTCGTATTGATAGATGGCGTCGGGAGCAGCGTCCGAAGGTGCAGCCGACCAGCGAAAGAAAGCAGACGACACGCAGACGAAATCCGTTGGCAGCAAAAGCGCCGCCGTTATGCAGACACGTTTCGTCACTTTAAGTTTTGCTTTTATTGTCCGCATTTATTTTTTAACCAAAGTTACATTTTAAAAAGATTGTGTTCATTTTAATAAACCACGGTGGTCGCGAACCGTCGCGTTAAGGAGGTTGCACCATCTATCAATACGAACGCCAAACACACCCCGCTCCCAGACTTGGTCGTCTGCGTCGCCGCCCGCCGTAGACCCTGGCAAGTTTCTCGGCCATATTTTTTACAGAAAGAAAGCTACGCTTTGCAATTTTAGAAGAAAAAACCGACCTGTGAAATACATCATTGACGAAAAGTTTAGATTGATACGTGCAGGCGTCAATTTGTACGGTCCATTTTAGATCGAGCCTGGTGACTTGAGTCACCCTATACTATCTAACAGAATTCACTTACGGTACATATATCTTAATTCTCCACATAGAGGGGGAAATTTGTAATGGACCGCGAAGAGTCTTGGTATAGCCTCCTCTATACGGAGGCTATGGTCTTGGGGATAGGGGAGTTCCTCCTTACCCT